TCTATTCACCAAAAATGATTGTAATTGACCCCAGCAACCAAACATAATTTTTCCAAAATGATTTGAGACTTTTCAATTGTGCCGAAAAATGTAGGCACGTACTCGAATTTTTTTCTCGAAACTGAGTAAGATTTCGGGGATATGTCTATTGATCAAAAATAATTGTAATTGACCCCCGCAACCACAAATAATTTTTCCAAAATGATTTGAGACTTTTCAATTTCGCCGAAAAATTTAGACACATACTCGAATTTTTTTCTCGAAACTGCGTAGGATTTCAGGGGTATGTCTTTCGACCAAAAATGCTTGTAATTAACACCTGCAACTGAAAATATTTTTTCCAGAACGATTTGAAATTTTTCAATTTAATTTTTTAATAACTTTTTAACGAAGCCTCATCAAGAAATTGATATTTTTGATTTTTGTCTTATTTTGGCCTCTAGAATCTTCCATTAAAATTTTTCCCAGGGGTAGCTGAACACTTTGTATATACCTTGTGTCATTTGGTTGTTATTTAATTTAAGCACTAATTTTCCGTCTGTTAACTAAGCTCAGTTATTCTATTTTAAGTTTAATTCATGAATAGTTTAGGCTTATCAGAATAGATGTGCAGGGGGAAATACAAAAATTGTAATACCATTTTGGCAAATTTTGCTTTGTATTATTTAGGCAAATAAATAAATGTTAAAATTATATTCAATGTTTGTGAGAAAATTTGATATTATTTTCACTCGGTGGATATAAAGTAGTGCTGTCCAAATACTTGAAATTAATTTTTTCAAACAAATTCAAATATTTAATTATTCAAATACCTTGAATATTTGATCGACCTTAAAAAAATTAATTATAAAAATTATACTTATATTATGTATGTTGTTTTTGTTTTTTTTCTTTCCTTTATGTAGCAATATTCTCACCTCAAAGAAATTTAAATAATTCTTTAACTTTTAATAACTTGCAAACAAGTAAATTGACCATTCGTTAAACTTAATTAAATTATTTAAATAAATTGATATTCTTTTTCTAATTTCTAGAATAATCATTATTATTCTTGACTTTATCCAAGCTTATTCAAATCTTATCAAAGCAAACTTTTCAACTTATCCAAACAAACCAAAGTGTTGTATTATAATTATGTAAGAATAAATCTAAAATTTGTTTGGATAATCAAGTTTACTTGAACATTTAAGTACCAGATTTGGTTTGAACAGCTTAAACTAGACTTAGCTCAGATTCTATTTTCAAACTATTTGGACACCTCTAGTACAAATTAGACAGAAGTGAATATCAAAATGCTAGACGCTTAAATTTATGTTGTAACTAAAATCAAAACAAAAATATTCGACATCGAAACAAACTTCACTTTTCGTTCTTGAATTATACAAGCGTAAGAAATTCGCTTGGTAAATGTTTCGTCATTAATGACTAATGACTTTTTATGATTAACAAGCAACAATTAAAACCTCTTAAATTTGATCAAAAAGCTCATCGAATCTATCTTCCCTGAAGTCAATATTTACCATGTTTTTTAACGACGAAGCTGTATTTAATAAAAATGTAATTTCATAATTTACATCTTTGTTCATGCTATCATTCAGTAAAAACACCAACGATAGTTCAGTTACTAAAATTCCATATATTCGAGCACATTTTGATCATTTTGATTGACTTCGATCGATGGAAATTAATTTTGTTTTATTAAATCAACGTACAATTTTTACGAAAATAAATATAAATATATGCAAATCATCGAAATGAAATAATTTCAACGACGTTTTACCTCTATAATCAGTGTCATGCAGCCAAAATGCATCATTAAAATTATTTCAAGCGAATTCATTTAGGATCCCGCGACTGACTGACGACGTAACTTTATAACAGCAAATTTAAACAAATGTCTAAAAATACGTCACAATCCACAAAATTAAATATGGTTAGAACCGACACAAATCTATACGTATACATTACCACTGTCCCGTCTGCATTTGCTGTGCACACCTTAACAAGTTATCGCTTGCAGCGAAAATTATACCCCAACTTCTGTTTACAAACCATATATATTTTAAATTAAACTCAAACAGAATCATGTACAAGGGAACATTGTTGTTTTTTCTGCTTAGAACCACTAAATATATTAAACGTTTATTAGTAATGGAACAACTATGACAACTTCGCCAATGAAAGGATTACAGTAGACATGCAAGAAGCGAATACAAGTTCTCTAATAATACACCTACTACCTACGTGTGCCCATAATACTCTAAAAATCTGTTATTTATTTCAGACTTCGGCAGTTCTTACTTCGCATTCGCAAATATAACATTAGCATAGCATGAGCTCATCGTTCGCGGTACAAAGTAGATGATCGATATTGTATACCAGAGGTTCTTAACGTTTTTAAGCTCACAGAACTATTTAAAACTATGATAGCAAACGAATGGAACGTGTAACAATTTTAAAAAAAATTTTTATTTTATGTAATAGTTGATAAAGAAAATTGGCACTTCGTGACACGCATGGTGTCTGATTTTTCGAATTTTTGCACGCAAACAATTCTTGTTTTGCCACCATTGCTTTAAGAGGATACTTAATCTTTTCAAGTTCGTTTCTAACCAAAAATTCTAATTGTTATAACGAAAATAAAGAAATAACAATAATTTTCTAAATTAAAATATTTTCAGTTATGAACTAAACCATGCTACTCTACTTTTCCTTACTATGATTCGTTATACGTTATTGATATTGGTTATCAGTAATTTTAATCAGAAGCCACCATTGCTTTAAAGGGATACTTAATCTTTTCAAGTTCGTTTCTAACCAAAAATTCTAATTGTTATAACGAAAATAAAGAAATAACAATAATTTTCTAAATTAAAATATTTTCAGTTATGAACTAAACCATGCTACTCTACTTTTCCTTACTATGATTCGTTATACGTTATTGATATTGGTTATCAGTAATTTTAATCAAAAGCCACCATTGTTTTAAGAGGATTCCTAATCTTTTCAAGTTCGTTTCTAAAGAAGAATTCTAATGGTTATAACGAAAATAAAGAAATAGGATAACAATAATTTTCTAAATTAAAATAGTTTCAGTTATGAACTAATATCAACCATGGTACTCTATTTTTCCTTACTATGATTCGTTATACGTTATTGATATTGGTTATCAGTAATTTTAATCAAAAGCCACCATTGCTTTAAGAGGATTCCTAATCTTTTCAAGTTCGTTTCTAAACTAAAATTCTAATGGTTATAACGAAAATAAAGAAATAGGATAACAATAATTCTCTAAATTAAAATATTTTCAGTTATGAATTAATATCAACCATGGTACTCTATTTTTCCTTACTATGATTCGTTATACGTTATTGATATTGATTATCAATAATTTCAACCAAAAGTTGTACTACTGTCGATAATAAAATACAAACCACGACATGAAAAAATGTTCGTTTGGTCGAACGGAATCGAAAAAATATTTCTACCATCTATAATTATTACAAGCAACCGAAAAAACATTTTGGTTTTGAATAACGATTATTGTGTGATCAAAAAGTTTAGAAATTGATAATTTTTAGCCATGCAGTTTTTTGAGAAATGTGTTTTGAAAATTTGTTTGGTCGAACGGAATCGAAAAAATATTTCTACTATCGATAATTATTATAAGCAACCGAAAAAACATTTTGGTTACGAATAATAATTATTGTGTAACCAAAAAGTTTAGAAATCGATCATTTTCAGCCATATAGTATCTTGAAAAATTTGTTTTAGATTTTATGATTATTATCCCCAACTTAAGTAACAAAAAACTTCTTGTTAATAATTTTTGGTCTGTTTCTAACACATGCTTACAAGTTTAACTATAACATTTTCTTATAAAACGTATGCAGTACATATACAACTACAATATTTCTGCGCACAGATTTTGATAAGTTGACAGCATGAGTTTACAAATAGATTTTGTACTGTGTTTATTGCCATTACTTGTGCACATATAACACCGGGAATGGTTTTTAGAAAAAGACGGAGTAGCTTCTTAATTCCTTCTCGAAGTACCATGCTGAATGTTCTAATTAAAAATAAGAGAATAGAAATGATCTACGAAACGTTTTACAACAAAAACAGGATACGGGTCAGAATTGATCCATCTTAGCCGGCAGACTGGTACAAACCTGGTACATTTTTGATAAGTGGCTAAATATGGTAGAAATTTTTAAATCTCTAAAAAAAAAATTGACTAGTACTATGGTTAAGAAGAATTGGTCTATAGACTGTTTAAAAATTATATACAATGCCAGAAGTATCATGGAACGCATTGCCAAGAGGTGGACAAAATTCTTGTTAATAATGAGTAAATCACTCATTCGTTGCTCGTTAAATTGAAATAAAATTTTAATTATAGAATGAAATAATATTCTCTAACGAACAGATACACAATGTAAAGTTGCTTTAAATATAAAGAGATGCTACGTTTAATAGTTTATTCTAAATTTCTGTCGCTAAGGTGTGTGATCGCTTGGTAAACTATGACTTTAAATTTTTTACAATGTTTTAATTCTGAAATTCGAATTCAAATCTGTTGATTTTCGTCACGTCAAAATGGAATTAAATACAAAATGGTTTCACTGTCAAAGAACCTGTTTAGTTTTTATCCTGGTTTACATCATATTTTGCTACAAGGTCACTCGATGTTACCAAATGTAAAGTGAATTGTAAGTTGAGATTTGCTACTTTTACGATTTTTCTTTTCTTATTATGAACTTTAATGAGCGTTTATATCACAGTTATTTTAACGTTTTGTTATTGTACTCTGAAAAGGGTCACACACCTTGGTGATCGAAAACTAGAAACTATTATTTATAGCATCCATGATTTTAAAATTAAAAACAACAACTTTATATTTTCCTCCAATGTGATATTTCTAATACTAATGGGAATGATGAGAAAACACATCCATTTGTCCAGCTCTGACACTATCTTAATCATTCGAAATCGTTTTATGAAACATTTCCATCTTGTCTTGCAAGAGGGACGTTAGAATGTTTCGATGAGTTGCCTTCCTCTATCTTCAGGGTCATTTGATTTCTAGATTCGTTATCAAATTCATCGTCCGTGGCATCGCCGAGATTATTTAGGCTTCCGTTGCTGGCGGTGCCGATTACTATGTAGCTTCCGTCGTTTCTCTCGCTTGTAAATTTACAATTCTCTTTTTGACGCAGTACAGCTTGCATCCCCGACGGATGGACCATCGTATTGTTCTGACAGAACCATTCTTTATCTCGTGCATGATGAGAACAGTCCAAAAATGCAGTGCAATTCTATAGATTTTTACGTGCAAACAGCATTAGTATATTAATTATTTAAAATATTCTACGCGGAAATCAATTTGAACATCAATCGCTACCAAATTTTTAAAACTAACGTCTAATATTATTGGGTTTGACAAAAAGTAGTGATCAGTCAAAAATGGTACTTTCTTTCAAATGTAGGGAACGATATTAAAATGTATTAATCATTTTGATCTACAATCTTCTCACGATAATAATCCCATCCATAACTTTCGATTTTTAAAATGTTCAATTTTTGATGCATGTATTTAACGTTTTGATCCGAGATTTTGGGTCATTATAAAATGACACTGTGAATAATAAATAAAATATGTAAGCTAAATAATTACAAGTATCGTCAATAATTGTGTTTTTTTGTATTTCTTTTTTTCTTGTTTACCATGTTTAAAAATATCATAATTCCACCTTTCCATAACTTTCTATTTTTAAAATGTTCAATTTTTTATGCAAGCATGTATTTAATGTTTTGAGTCATTATAAAATGACACTATGAATAATAAATAAAAAGTGTAAGCTAAATAATTACAAGTATCATCTATAATCGTGTTTCTTTTTTTTCCTATTTGCCATATTTAGAAATGTCTTCAACATTTGTTCGAAAGTATGAAAAACAAAAATATTCGATAGTTCGATAGTACTTGTCATTATATCGCATTTCTAATAACTAGACTGCAGATGTTTATGCAAATTTATATTTTTATTAATAAAATTAATAAATATCTTACTTTAAGTATTTCTTATATTTTTGCATATTGAGTACATTCTGTAGTAATTAAGAGTTCAAATTTCCCCTAAATGCACAAACATCCGCAGTCTACTAAGAACGCTACATAATTAAAAAATTTATAGGCAATAAGGGTACATTCGTTTCAAGTGTTCGATGAGAAAAATTGTAAGCTCGAAGCGCCGATTGCCAATACTCATCAAAAGATTTCGTTTAAATCAACCCTGATAGCGACTTCGAAGATAACGTTAGTGATATTATTATATCCATACATTAATCTAGTCAGAGTACGTTTAACAAAGTGAATCAATGTATTAGATACGTCTGCGAATGTTCTTGTGCATCGTTGCACAAGCTTTGTTTGTTTTAAACGTTACCACACTTTTAAAAGGCACCGAGTACATCATTACTTTATTATTCGAAGTAATTTGTATGCTTTTTGAATGTTCAAATTTAAGGATGTTACTACACGTTGCTTGCCAAAACTATTCGAGCGGTCAATGTGTTAAGAATGAAATCTGAAATCCGTGAAATTGATAGGTTTCGTAAATCTAGTGTTAACCATTCACGTGCCTTCTGTTTGAGTTGATATTTCTGTAAATTTCAATTTCTACGTGTCTCTCACCACAAGGTTGTCCGTGATTCTCGATACTCCGCATCTTGATTGAGCAGTGAACCAACAGCACTCGTCGGGAATGATTCGCGACAGGAACTCCCCGTTCTCCGCGATCCTGTGAATGGCAGTCGAGGCTCCTAGAATCCCGCAGGATCTCGGCGGGAAAGGAAAGATCACGGGAGCGGAGAGGTAGGTCTTCGGGTGTAGCTGAAGAAAGTAACACAGCCTTTTACGCTACAACAATTCCCACTTTCGAGTGACACAGTTGAAACAACCAATTCGCCTAAAACCGGCTGGCAATAGTAATAATATTGATAGCAACAGATATCTTAACATAGGTACGTGGTGGGGATCAAACCCAGAAACCTTAATAGTACTTTACAAAAGTTTCGTTTGCTCAATACTGGACTACGGCTGCTTTGTATATTTTCCTACCCAACAAAACCAAATAAATAAGTTAGAGAAAATTCAATACACGGCAATAAGACTTGCTCTTGGATACAGAATTAGCACACCTATCAACATTCTTCTATCGGAATCCAAACTACAACTTATTCAAGAACGTTCGAGATTTCTATGCACGAATTACCTGAATAAGGTCTATTCGAACCAAAATTCGGTAGTTTATGTAGCTATTTCTCGCCTCCAAAAGATTATGGAGAACAGGTACAGCAAACGCAAAAACAGTAACAGGCTTCTATACCAATGCATAAAAGACACAAAAAATTCAATCAGTCATATTTACACCATCAATAACCACAATAACGATGTTCAAGAATACTACTCTTTTATTAGCAATATTTATTAGGTGTACAAATGAATAATCCAATTTTTTCAGTCACATTCAATGTTTATTTTAAAAGAAAGTAAATTGAATTGTTCAAACTATTCGCCGTTACTTTCTATAACTTTAAGCCATCTTTCAGACAGCTGATGAATTCCATCTCGGAAAAACTTTACGTTTTTGGACCCGATAAAGTCGTCAAGCCATTTTCGGATCTCATCCGCTGATTGGAAGTGCATATCGGATAAGGCGTGTTGCATCGACCGGAACAGGTGATAGTCAGATGGAGCAATGTCTGGTGAATACGCCGGGTGCTGCAAGACGTCCTAGCCAAAACTCATTATGGTGTCTTTTCTATGGGAAGCAATATGTGGCCTGACGTTGTCATGCAACAATTTCAATGGACGTTCTCCTTTGCCAGTATACGGACGTTTTCGTTGCAATGCTAGACTCAAGCAGATTAATTGACATTGGTAGCAGTCCGCAGTAACTGTTTCACCCGGTTCCAACAACTCATAATAAACCACGCCCTTGATATCTCACCAAATGCAGAGAAGAACCTTCTTTCCGAAGCGATTGGGTTTTGCAACCGATATTGATGCTTCGCCGGGATTTACCCATGATTTTCTGCGTTTAGGATTGTCATAGAGCATCCACTTCTCATCGCCCATAACGATTTTCAACAAGAAATACTTTCGACGCTGCTTATTGAGAAGAGAAAGACACGCTGCCACTCGTTGATTTTTGTTGGTTGCAGTGAGTTCATGCGAAACACATTTTCCTTCTTTCTGGATCTTTACCATCTCACGTAGGCGTTCGGAAATCGTTTGCTGGGTTACTCCTAACTGTTCTGCAAGTTCTCTTTGCGTTTGTGCCGCATTCTCAGCGAGCAGTTGTTCCAAATCATCGTTGTCGCACTTCTGAAAGCCTCCAGGGCATTGTTTGTCGATTAGACTCAAATCACCGCTTTTAAACCGCTTAAACCAAAATGCGCACACATCATACGATACAACACCTTCACCGAGAAAGGAACAAATCGATTAGTATGCTCTTGCATCATTTTTCCCTTGTTGGAATTTGTAAAGTATGCAGTGTCGGATATGCACCTTATCTGTTGCCATTTTCGACTCTACTGAATTGAATTCTTTTGAAGGTTGTATTGGGCCTTTCGCTAAACTATCTTTTGTTTTAACTAGCTATATGTCAACACTATTTGACCGCAAAAGAGCGGAAAAATCTATTAACTTTAAACTTGATTTTATAACAGCTTAAGATAATTTGGATTATTCATTTGTACATCGAATTTCGTGAACTAGGATCTTTTCAAAAAAACGAAAAATGGCAAAATGGCAGCTATTTTACGAAAAAATACTGAATAATTTCATATATTCGGTTGCTTTTTTGTTAACAAAAGAAAAAGTATTGCATATATCGCAATTGTCCTAGTTTATGCTATAGGGAGACTATAAGGAGACTAGTTCTAAAGATACTGTATAAATTTGATGTTGATATCTTGAACAGTTTTCATGTTATCGTCTACGCAGTGCCGAGAAATGTAATTTTGAGAAAAAGAGCTTTGAAGTTTCACGTCCAGTTGTTATATCTGCGCATGGTACATTTCAGCAGACTATAATTTCGTTAGTTTTCCGAATTTCAATTTAATATTTGGTAGATACATTTTCGAGACTACATACTAAAAGAAAACGCAAAAAAAAATTCGATTTTTTAAATCCCACAAAGTAGAAAGGTCCCTTAAGTATATTTAATCCAGTAAATCATTAAGTGAAAACAGCTCTTTCGCAAAATATCATCCCTCTTATTATGATATTGTCTGTAACAATTGTCGATATGGCAATTGTGAACCTCTGAAAAAATTTCATTCTTTGTGCATTTTCTTAAAGAATATAATTTTTCGAAATATATCTGCAAAACCTCGTGCCTCAACTCATAAAATTAATGGCTGTTTAAAAGAAGCGGTGGCCAGTGATCGATTTTCTGTTTAGTTGAGAAGCACTTTTTTAACATAAAAATAAAGAACAAATTCAATTTTGTTGAGCTGTTCATAATCTCGCGACAATAAGCACGCGGCCAAATGGCGCCACCTATAATAAGATTGAATATTGTGCGGGGATTTCCGTGGTTTTTGTTCGATTCGAGTTGAGTCGAGTCGTTTGTTCGAGCCGCATGGTCGGCATCGCATACTGTAATTTCTTTTATAGTAAACTATGTAATATCTAAAGAATAATTAAAGTGGTTGTGTTTAATAAATAAATATTGTCTATATACATTTATTTAATCAGTTCCTATGCAAGGGAACCTGATATTTTTCAACATATTTCAGGGTATTTTCTATATGTTTCTGTGACATCAACCTATACGTGATGTTATCTTGTATTTTTTTCTTTGGACGTTGTACATATGTCTGGTGAGTGAATGTAGTGTGAAGTAGGCTTAATGTTAACAGCACTGGCATGCGAGGGGATCTACGCGTCGGTTCCATTGGCTTGTGAGAGTTGTGTATAGCAGAAAATTATGTTACCTACATATTAAATATATATTTCATTATTATCCAAAACAATATTGGATTACACATCTCAGCGAGTAGTTGTTCTAAATCATTGTTGTCACTCTTCCGAGGGCCTCGAAGGCGTTGTTTGTCGATTAGACTCAAATCACCGCTTTTAAACCGCTTAAACCAAAATGTGCACACATCATACGATACAACACCTTCACCGAGAAAGGAACAAATCGATTCGCATGCTCTTGCAGCATTTTTCCCTTGTTGGAATTCGTAAAGAATGCAGTGTCGGATATGCACCTTATCTGTTGCCATTTTCGACTCTACTGAATTGAATTCTTTTGAAGGTTGTGTTGGGCCTTTCGCTAAACTATCTTTTATTTTAACTAGCTATACTACTGTGTCCAAAAAGTAAGGTGACTTTTTAATTTAAACTTCGCGGCTTTATCCAAACTGATAAACTTTTTTTCTGTAGCTTGGTAGCTCTGTTACTGTCATCTATTTCAAATTTCACGTCATTATCTTCAGTTGTTTTTGAGATACGCTTGTTTATCCAGAACAGTAAAAGTGCATTCGGTGATTTTCATAATGAATATTTTTGTTCAGCAAAGAGTTTGTATTAAATTTTGTTTGCGGAATGAATATTCTGCCGCTGATACTTTGGAAATGCTGCGAAAAGCCCTCGGCGACCAGGCTATGTAAAAAAAAATGTTTATAAGTGGTACAAAGAGTTCCAAGATGGCCGAGAAAGCGTTGAAGACAAAGAGCGCCAAGGATGGTCATCAACGTCTACTGATCAAAGCCACGTTGATGAAATCAAAAAACTAATGCTACAAAATCGTCGACTGACAATAAGAGACCTTTCAGACACTGGTGGCATTTGAAAAGGGTCAGTGAATACCATTTTGAAAGATGTTTTAGACTTGAAACGTGTCAAATCTCGATTGGTACCGAAAGCACTGAATTTGTTCGAAAAAGAGCGTCGTATTAACATCTGTAAAGAGATGATTTCCAACTATGAACCAGTCATGAAACGCATCATTACGGGAGATGAGACTTGGATCTATGCCTACAACCCGGAAACAGCTGACCAATCGAGCGAATATCGTGCTAAAGGTGAAGAAAGACCGAAAAAATCGCGCCAAAGTCGTTCAAAAATCAAAGTCATGTTAACAGTTTTTTTCGATTATCGTGGTGTGGTGCACCATGAATTCCTCCCGCCGGGCCAAACTGTTAATAAGGAATACTATTTAAGTGTTATGCGTCGCTTGCGTGAAGCTATTCGCAAAAAGAGGCTGGAATTGTGGCGAAGCAACTGTTGGTTTTTGCACCACAATAACGCGCCGTCTCACACTGCATTGATTATTCGTGATCATTTGGCCAAAAATTCAACTCATATCGTTCCACAGGCAACCTATTTGCCTGATTTAGCACCATACGACTTCTGGCTATTCAGTAAACTCAAAATACCACTCCGGGGACACCGGTTTGACGCTATTGAAGAGATTCAACGTGAATCGCTGCGCGCTTTGAAGGCCATTCCAGAAGAGGACTTTTTCAGCTGTTTCGAGGAATGGAAAAAACGTTGGCATAAGTGCATTATGTCGAATGGGGATTACTTTGAAGGGGATGAAATTGATTTGAAAGAATAAATAAAGATTTTACGTTTTATAACAAATGTCACCTTATTTTTTGGTCACAGTAGTATGTCAACACTATATGACCGCAAAAGAGCGGGAAAATCTATTGACTTTAAACTTGATTTTATAACTGCTTAAGATAATTTGGATTATTCGTTTGTATACCTAATATATTAACACAGAATTTGGTACGTTATTAAAGTATGTAGAAAATCCCAATTTATTAATTGAAAATTTAATTGAAGAGGACAAGTCAAAGAACTCAGTTTTCGTAGGAAGTGCGTGTGTCTGCTGCAGTGACTTAAACAAGACCGTAGTAAGAAGTATGTATAACTAAAAATGCATCAATCTTCACTGCAGAATCTATAGCCCTTAACCACTCCGTAAAGATAGCTTTAAATCAACCTAATCAGAATTTTCTCATTTTTACGGATTCTTTTAGCGCACAAAATGTTAGATGGAAAAAAGTTTCCGATCACTGAATGTTTTGGAAATAAGTTTCTGATCAAAGGTACCATTAATATTTTGTTACATTACCTCGTGCTCAGATGACAGCTTTAATACGCTGTGGCATTGATATTATTAAATTTTTACAATTCATGAATGAAATTTCTCCCCACAATAAGCTTATGGCCTGTCGAAGTCCATCTTTACTTTGTGACTTCTTTTCCCGAATCAGTTTCTTTAATTTCGCCCATAAATTTTCTATGGGTTTGATATCGGAACTATTCGCGGGCCATTGCATTGTTTTAATGTTGTTTTGTAGTAAATAGCTTTTTACTATTTTACTGCGGTGGCAGCTGGCGTTATCGTCTTGAAAGATGAAATCTGTAGAATCTGCAAACATGTTTTCTATACTTGGAATTAACAAATGTTCCAAAATGTGAATGTATCTTTCTTTATTAACATTCTGATGGAGAATGCACAATTTTCCCACGCCTTTCGCAGCATACAGCTCCATATCATATATGATTGTGGATACTTTGCTTTATGATTTAAACAATCTTCATTAAACTTTTCATTTGGTCTTCTTCAAATAAATGTTAATAAGGCATACACGTGACTCATTACTGAATGTTACTTTGCACCAGTCGTCCACTGTCGAATTTGCACGTTCCTTGCACCATCGTAAGCGATGTTTCCTATGTGCCTTTGCAAGCAAGGGTTTTGTCTTAGCTTTCCGAAATGTGATACCCATTTCGTTTAACCTGTTTCTAACTATACGATCAGAGACGTTTGGAGCCCATTGTTCATTTAATTGTTTTGAGGTGGCTCTTCTCATATTTTTCACAATTTTACATAGTCTTTTGTCATCCCTTTTAGTAGTTCCACCAGGATGATCACGACTCGTACGATTACAAACACAGCCTGTTTCATCGTATTTTCTTTTTAAATCACTAATGGTACTTTGACTACACCCAATTAATTCTGCGACTTTTCTCTGTGTGTTTCCCTTCTTGAGAAGAACAATTATTCTTATTTTTGTATCTTTTGAATACAATTTACGCGATGG